GGGGGGTGCAAAGGGTGGGGAGTGGGTGTGCAGCAGGGAATGGGTGTGCAACAGGTAATGGGCATGTCATGGGGGGGTGCACAGGGTGGGTAATGGGTGCGCAAAAGGTAACGGGTGTGCAACGGAGGGCACAAAGGGTGGGGAACGGGTGTGCAACAGGTAATGGCTGTGCAAAGGGTGTGCAACAGGTAGTGGGTGTGCAACGGGGAGTGCAAAAGGTGGGTAATGGGTGTGCAATGGGGTGTGCAGCAGGTATGCAACAGGTAATGGGTGTGCAATGGGGAGTGCAAAGGGTGGGTAATGGGTGTGCAACAGGTAACGGATGTGCAAAGGGTGTGCAACAGATAATGGGCATGCAATAGGGGGTGCAAAGGGTAACGGGTGTGCAAAGGCTGTGCAAGGGGAACGGGGGGGCAGTAGTGGGGTGTACTCGGCATCTAGCAGAGATGTTGGGGGTGTGCACGAGGGTGTAAGGGAGGTGAGTGGCGCTCTGGCAGGTGTGGAAGAGGCACGGTGGTGCAAAGGGGGGGTCACGGGGGTGTAATGGGCCGTTACAGGGGTGTAGTGGGCTTTGGGCACGCACATGTGGGTGCAGCGGGTGTGTAGCACGTGAAAAGCGTGCAACAGGCGTGCACGCAACCGGCGCGCAGCCGGCGTGTAACTGGGGTGTTCTGGGCAGGTAATGGGTGTGCAATGGGCAGGGGGGTGCCAGGGGAGGGGGGGTGCAAGGGGTGTGCACAGCGGGGGGGGCAGCGGCGTTGCTCCCCGCAGCCCCTCGCCTGCCCCAGCTGGAGGGTTTGGGGGGGGTGTGTGTGTGTGTGTCACCCCATCCCTCCCAGGGGCAGCGTCCGAAACGAACCCCTCGGGGTGAAACCCTTCTCCCCTCCCGTGTGTCTGCTTGCCCTTGGGCTGCACGGCACGCTGCCCGCGGTTCCAACGCTCCGGCCACGGGGCCCACGGGTGCCCCAACAGCCGGTGAGCCCGGGCTTGATGCCGCCGCACGCCGAAGCCCGCAGTCCCTGCCCGCAGCTCCGGCGCTGCCGGCATCTGCCCGGGGCCGGGAGCGGGCCGGGGGGGGCGGCCGCGGGGCTCCTTGGCGATGTGGAGGCTGCCGAGACACGCACGCTGCTCGCCAAGCTCACTGAGGCCGTACGGCACGCACGTGCCCTTCCCCAAAAAGCGGGGCTCGTTCCGCTCCCCGAGAACCGCCGCTGCCGTTCCCCCCTCCCGCACCGGCAACCTCCCCTGCTCGGAGGCAGATTCCCCTTGTGCATGGCTGGCTGGTGGGGAAACTGAGGCACGGCCAAGGGTAGGAGATATCTGGCAGCAGGGACTGCGGTTGCGCCCGCAAACCGCAGCCGCAGCCGGAAGACCGCGGTTTCCTCTTGCTGGTGGCAGCGGTGACAGCGGTGACAGCGCAGGGCTGAGCCCCGTGGCCATTCCCAGTTTGGGCTCCGAGCTCCCTGGCCCCTCTCCCACCGCCACGGCCGATCCCACGAAGTGTCTGTGTTCGCTTCGGAGGCCCCGAACCCGGCCAGGGCCTGCGCGGCCGTCGCCGAGAGTCTCCCCAGGGTGAACCTGTCACCGCAGGGCTTCCAGCTCCCCGCTTTGGTACCGAAAAGCAGCAGGGGTTTTATTTTTCCCCCCTCCCCGTGGCGACGTTCAGATCAAAGCGTCCCCTGTTGCTACTCGGTCCCGGCCATTTTCGGTGCATCGCAGCCAAAATAGCTGCTTGCATCTGCTGCGCGCCCCGAGCCGGCAACCGCTCCCGCCAAGCGCCCCGGGGGGGCAGGCACCAACAGGTCTCCCTTCGGCTTCTCCCACCTCCTAAAAACCAAAATGCCAAAAAGAAGATCAAAAGCGGAGCGTTACGGGGGCCCTGCGGCGCCGGGGACGCTCAGAGCCGGGTGGTGGGTGCAGCCGGAGCATCTCCGTGGTGGGATAGGGTGAGGTGGTTCTTTACCGGCTCCGGCGGACGCGTTTCGGGATGGCTGCTGCTCGGGATGCAGGTTGCCCCAGCGACGGTTGCTATGGCAAACACTTTGGCGGCAAAATTTCCAGCCATATTCATGCGCCCGTCATTGTCTTCGGGAGCGTCCCCGGCATCCAGCGAGCCAGGCACGGCCGGCTCTGCACCGGGGGCACGCTCTCGGCAGGGCCCGGCTTTTCCCGCTGGCTCCTGGCGTGGGAAGGTGTCGGAGGACCCCAAACGGGGGGTTTGGGGGAGCACAGCGGGTGCGCGGGGGCCTGGGGAGCAGGCTGTGCCGTGCCACGCCACGTTAATTGGCTAACTGCTGATTAACACCCAGCCGTGCCCCAACCGTTGGGTGGGATGCGTTTCGGTGAAGCCGGGGCCCAGCGCTGGGCCAGCGGGACGTCCTGGGGAAGGGGGGTGGCACTGGGATATTTGTGGGGCTGGAGCCATCCCCAGTGGGGCCCAGCGGCTCCGGATGGGGCTGCCTGCTCCTGCCCCCCCAGCATCTGCCCGCGGCCCCGCCGGGTCCGCGCTTCGGCAAGCCGCCTCCTGGAGCAGCAATGGGATTACAGGGAACTGAGTCTCCTAGCAATGAACGGAGAAATAAATCCTATAAGGCAGGACGGGATTTATTAGACTTCAATATTCTGGAAATAATGAAGACATTTCTCTTGGCTTGTAGTATCACGGGACCCAACAGGATCACACCAAGGATTTATCCCCATGACTTTCCGCGGCGCTGGGTTGTTTTTTAGCTGCGGAGAGGAGATGGCAGGGGAGCCAGCTCGCCTTTCCGGCGAGCGGGATGGCGAGGCACCCCCTCATCTCCAGAAAAGCCGAGGCGGAGCGCGGGCCTCGGGCTGCCCCAACAGTAGCGGCTCTGTTCATCTCCCCATTCATCCCCCGGCGAGGGCTGGCGCCGATCCTCGCCCCCAGCAGCAGGAAGGGCTGGCTGTGCCGCCGGCGCAACTTCAAACGCGGGTGCCAGCACCCACCACCGGTGGGAGGAAGCCCTGGGGCAGGGACCCTCACCCGTTAGTCCCCATTAGTCCTGAACCCACTGCAGCCAGAAACCTCGTCGCGCTGCCGGACGGGACATCGCTGCCAGGAAAAGAGGTGGGAGAGGCTGGAAACAGCAGCTTGGGGAAGAGGACGCGGTGCCCCCAGCGTCACCTCCCGGGCAGCTGCCCTTCCCGGCCCCGCTCCCCGCGGGGAACCGGGGCCCCGGTTGTGGGGTGATGCCTCCTGGGACCAGCCCCACGCTCTGCTCCCGCCTCCTCTCGCCTGCCAGCACACCGTCAGGCTTTGCCCCGTGGTGGCTCGGCTCGCCCCGAATCCCATCACGGTCCTTGGGATGGCCGGGCAGGGGGCCCACAGGGTGCACCCGCTGGGCAGCCACCTCTCCACCTCCTCCCGCGTCGGGAGCCGGATGTTTATTCCTGCATCCCTGTCACCGAAACAGCCTTAAAAATGCACGACGTTAGCTCCCCGCCCGTTGGCAGCCCCGTCACGGCCTCCCCAACCCTCGCCCAGCAGCTCAACGCAGGCGAGCCCGCGGGCGCAGGTCGGACGCAGATGGTTTTACCGCAGCTCCGGAGCGCGGCCGCCGCGGCAGAAGCCCCGACCGTCGGGGCACGCAGACACAATCGCTGCCTTGTTCGGGGCCCGGCCGCACAAGGGGCCCCTTCAGGCAGCCAGGGAAGGGGGAGCTCCTCGGGATGAGGTGATTCTCAGGCCACGAGGGACCCCTCGCACCGCCAAAATTCTGAGCAGATGCCCCAGGTGGGTCCTGACCCATGGACGACGTGAGCTTCCCAGAGAAGACGGCCCGAGGTGGGAATGTCTCGAAAGAGGCACCCACATCTCCTGGGAGCTTTGCTCCTTCCAGAAAGCTCAGGGCTGGTGGGGATGCTGAGGGTTGTTGGGTACCGGGGCCACCCCCACTTTGTGGGAAGGTGCTGGGCAATGGAAACAGCAAGCAGAGTGGAGTTTTGCCTTTTTTTTTTTTTTTTTTTTTTTTTTTTTCTCTTTTTTCTTTTTTCCTTCCTTAGCAGCCAAGCTGTGTTTTCTGGAGACCTGTAAATCACTCCTCGTCTTCAGGAAAGAGAGGCGAGGAATACATGATCCAACCAGGCAAAAACGCGGGACGCTTGGGAGTGCGCAGGGAGGAAGCCAGGATTCAGCCCCAGGCCAGCGGCTGCCTCCCGGCCGTCCCGCCGAGCCCACCCCAGCTTGCCGGGCCGGGAGCTGCCACCGCAGCCCGGCACCCTCCAGCCGAGCCGGGCACGCCACGCCGCCGCGAGCTGGGAGCCCAGCGGAGAGGAGCCGAGGCGCTCGGCCACCGCTGTTAAACCACGCTTTTCCAGCCGGTCAGGTTGCTTCCAAGATTTCAGAATTTTCCACATTTGCTCAGCTAAAGGGAAAGAAAAACCCCAGAGAAGAGAGGCCGGAGAGTTTGTGGAGAGCAGAGCTGCGCCTGGCAGGCAGGATCCTGTAAACTGAGGGTCACTGATTTTCCCAGTTCACCAGCCTGCCAGTGGAGGCTGTGCTGGCCAGATCCCACTGACACACCATTAGCTGCTTGTAAATCCAAAGCCATCCATCCCCCCCAAGCCATCCAGAGCCGATGTGGCTGCAGGGCTCTCTCTGGACACAGCCCGGAGCTTGCTCTTTAAGGCTTTTAAGAGCGGGGCTGGGTTTGGTGCCTCTGGCTTTTAGGTTCCCCTGTTGCATGTCCATCCAGTTTTTGCTCACAATACACAGAATTATCTTCCGTTTCTAGCCTAGTTTTCACCCCAAGGTGCTGCCGAGCTGCTGGAGCAGAATGAGCCCTAAAATGCAGCTGCATTGGAGGCCCGAGGCAGCACCCAGCTGGGATGCTTGTCCCACGGTGAAGATTTCGGTTGGCAGTCCCCGGGGAGCCTGACACCGCCGGGACAGGACCCTTCCCCACCTCCACCCAGGACCACAGTGCTGAGGGGACACAGGGCAGAGAAGATCCCCAGTCTCCCCTCCTCAGCCCCAGCAGAGCGAAGCGCAGCAAAAGGCAAACTGTCTCCCCCGTGTCCAGCCCCCCCCAGCCCCGCTGAGCCTCTCGCCGTCAGCGAGGACCTGCTGCAAACCCTGCCCGGGGTTGCCTCGGGGTCCCTGCAAGCAGGGCAGGACCCGGCTGCCTCCCCAGCCCCGGGGAGGAGGAGAGAGGGGTCCCGAGCAGGACAGCAGCCCAGCGACCGCCAAGGGTCACCCCAGGGCTGCTCGCTGCCAGCCCCGAGCTGAAACCTCCCCACAACCCTGGGGTGCCCCGGACAACTCCAGTTGTTTTTGCAACCGAAATCAAAGCAGCAACCGACTGGGAAGGCGGTTGGAGGTGCAAACATGTCATCACCCTTGTTGTTTTGTTTCTGTCCCATTTCAGGCTCGTTTAAGCAGGTCCGTAACAGCCGATTCTGTGCATAACAGGGTGCCAAAGGCTGCAGCTCCCCCTGAGCACGTGGTGTTTTGTTCTCGGCTGTCCCGCAACACGGCCACAGAGCAAGGGCTGACTCAGCAGCTGACACGTGAGTCCAAAGCTGAGACCGTGCTCCGAGCCGCAGGCGAGTGGCCAGCGGCAGCGACGGCATCGCTCGCCCCGTTAGCGGGAAGGATGGGACTTGTGCTGCTTTCCCCCCGGCACGGGCTGCCCCCCTGAGTGGGCTCAGAGCATCCCGTGGGGAACGGCGGGTGGGCACCTCTACTCCGGGGCCGTGCAGGGGCCAGACGCCGGGAGCTGCCCAGCTCGGGCAGCGCCAGACCCGACGGGACGGCCGAGATGACGGCGCGGTGCCGGCTCCAGCTCCGCGCCCAGGCGCCTCACTCTGCCCTCCCAGGCAGCTCTCCTCGCTCAGCCACCCTGCGTGGCCATGCCTTGGGCGGGGAGCGCTGCATACAGGAGGCACTGTCCCCTCCCCGTTCTCCAATTCTGGATTTAATCCCACCGCCAGCCCCAGTGCTGCAGAGGGAAAGCGAGCCAAGCACTCGCTCTGCCCCCCAGGCTGCTGTCCAGGCAGCCACCAGGCACCTCTGAGCAGGGATTTTCACGATCGCCGTCAGACACTCCTTACTGTACGTGACCCTTCACGTCTGTCCTCTGCTTCCCGCACAAACCACGCTGCCAGCATGCAAGGCTGTTGGGATGGAACACTTTATTCACGTGAACGCTCAGATCCTGGCCCGTCCTGCCTGCCGCAGCTGCTCCCATCTTCTTGACAGCGTGAACAAGGAAGGATTTCTTCATCGGCTTGCTTAACACCCCCCCCGCCCCGCGCCCCCAGCATCATCAGACCCCACAAACAAGTACAGACAGTTCGGCTTTGTCCGGGCAAGAGCACGGCGCTGCGGGGCAGGGAGCGCTGCGGGGCTGGCAGAGCGGGGAGAAGGGCTCCAGCCCACAGCTTGCGCACGCAGAGCAGCCACGAAACCTTCCCGCAGCGCCGCTCGCGCAACCAAATACACCAGCCCAGCCTTCACCCAGGCTCCAGCACCCTCCCAGCCTTGGCGGCTCCTCCGGCTGCCAGAAGCACCCAGGGTTGACAGGGGATGGGTGCCACCAATCTCTTCTGGTTGGAAAGCTGCCTGCCAGAATCACGCTGGTCTGGTCGCTTCTGTCACCTGCTGGGCCATTTAACCCTCAAAGTGTCCCCTGCCCACTGACAAATACCCTCCCCAAACTATTACAGTAAAAGGAAAAACCTGCATGCTGAGACATACAGGCTGAGTCTTGGGTGGAGAAAGGTTTCCGTGCTTGGTGGTCCCGCGGAGGCCGGCAGCCCCCAGCCAGCGCTCGGGCACAGCGGGGAGCAGGATCCCCCGCGGCCACCCCCGGCACGTCAGGGCTTCATACTGCTCAGTCTGATGTCGCGTTCGATTTCGAACTGCCTGTGATCCACGCGCTCCAGGAACGCTTTCCTCTCGATGTACCTGCGGGGGAGGCAGAGAGGCAGAGGCTGTAGGCAGTGCCCGGAGCAGCCAGCGCTGGCCCCAGCCCCGGGGCAAAGCCCACCCACCCAAAGGGACGAACAGGGAGGGAAGGCATCATCTGCCCCCTTCCCTGCCTTTCCATGAGCTGATCGCTGCACTGAGCCCCTCCTACAGACACCAGAACGGCTCTGTGGCCTGCTGGGGGTCTCCTGGGGGACCCACAGAAGTCTGGTGTGAAGGGTGGAGATACGGGCTGGCTGCTTCTCCTTCCAGCTCTTCTCTAATGGCTGAGAAATGACCTTGAAGGGGCTCAGGGCAGGTCCTCGGCAGAAGAGGCAGCTCTGATGCTCCTCCCCGGCTGCCCCTGCCCACAGACCCCCGAGCAAATCACCTCAACCGCCCTCCTCCCCCCCAGCAGCACGACCCACGCTACAAACTGCTACCAGGCACAGGGAGCATTAGGGACCCAACCAGCATCACCCAGCAAGCCTGCAGCAGCTCAGGGACTGAGGCCAGGGGTTTCCCAGCCACAGACTTGCTCCTAACCACCGCGGAGTATTTACTTCTCCCCCCCAGCGAGGCACCTGAGCGCTGCAAGGAAGGCAGCAAACACGCCTGCGCCTGGAAAAGCACCTTGCCGCTCATTAATGGCATGCAGCTGAATTTTAACGTACTTTGCTGCAAACCCTTGCCACAGATAGCCTGGGGCTGTGCTACTAATTAACCTACAGAGGGAGCGAAATTGCAATTCAAAACAGGAGCTGTAATTGAATCATCACGATTGTTTTGCATTTGTTCCAGGGTGGCGAGCGCTCGCCTGCCATGGCAAGGTCATGACGCTCGGCACCGATGCACCAGCCGCTGCGTTCAGCTTCTCTCTGCCGGCCGCTTGCTCTTCCTGGACCACAGCTGGTGCCTGCCAACCAGAGAAGCCCCGCTGCTTGGAAGCAAGACTGAAAGCTGCAGGAAAGATGAGGATTGCAGGCTCTGGGGGTTTCCCAGGCTTTCCTGGGTGGCTGGCAGCGGTGCAGGAAGGTGCCTAAGACCCAACTGCACGGGAAGGCTGAAGCCCCCCTCCCGCCGTGGTCCCTGCAGGACAGAGGGGGCTCCGCTGCCTTTGGTGACGAGGTCTCTGCTTTATGCTACAACTATCAAACCGGCGCTGAATTTGCTCCCAGCACCGGGACGCCTTCGCCCTCGCTGCGAGGGCCGGCCCTCACGCTCCTGCCCACCCAGTCGTCCTCCGAAAGAAATGAATCCCCAGTCACTGCAGCGAGCGATTCCTGCCCCCGGGGAGCGGATGAACCAGCCCCCCCCGGCGCGTCCTTGCTTGCTGCCACCCCGCTCCCATCGCAGCCCGAGCGCGTCTCTGCGCCGACACAACTGGGTCAGCCCCTCTCCGCCGGCTGCGGGGGGGGCAGGGGGGGCCACAGACGATGCGCTGGCCGTGAGGAGGTATCGTTGTGGCCCCCCTCGCCACGCCGGCTCAGGAAAGGCGAGCAGGGGAGTGTCGCTTCCCCTTCGTCCCTGCGAACGGGGAGGTGACCCCCCGCTCCTGGAACCGGGCTCGGAGAGGCCACGGGAAGGAAGTCGGGGTGGGGGGGGGGTGTCACGTTGTATGTTCCAGCAGGTCACAGCGCTGGGCGTGTGGTTTTCCTCCCCCTCCGCTGCAAAACGCCGACCGCAGCCGGGAAGGCAAGGGGCAGGGGTTCCCGCTCTTAACCTGGGAACACCCCGACTTGCTTGGGCAGCAATAGCCCGAGCTGCCAAATTTGAAGCTCCTTCGGCCCCTCGGCGACTCCCGTCTCCCAACCCCGGCGAGGGGTCAGTGCCTTCCTCCTCCTCCTCCTCCTCCTCCGTGGCGGGCAGGGACTGGCTCCTGGGGGATCGATACGGATCACGAGCCAGGAATGCGGTCTCACGGCACGGAGGAGGAACTGCGACGTTACCCCGTGGCGTTGTCCTTGGCCGGCCACAGAAAAACGCCGCAGGGGCCGGAGCAGGGCACCACCTGTGCCTACCCCGGGGTTTACGGGGCAGGCAGCCCCACAACAAGCCCGGCCGGCCCGTCCTGCACGCACACGGGGGCTGGACGTGCCGACGGACACAAGCAGGGAAGCAGCAGGTCTGCAGGGGCAACTCAACACCCCCCCCTGCGCCCCGAACCCCGCGCCCGAGCTGCGGCTCCGTCTCCGGATCCCGGCCTGGCTGCTCACAGTGCAAAGGGCGCGAGCGAGGCGCAAACACCCGCCCTGTGCTTGTCTAAATAACCTTTGCCACCTGAATCAATACTTTCCCCCTAAGTTATCAGCCCACGTGGAAACAGGGCAGCTGTGATCCACAGCAGAGGAAGGTGAATTTGTTGGGCTGCCTTTGCTAAGGAGGCCAGCTGCAAATTGTTCCGGGGAGGGTTCCACTGGTGCTGCCCGTCCCCAGCCAGTCGCCACCAGGCACCCAGCGCACGGGGCAGGGCTGCTCCCCTGCTGGGCCTGCCCTACAGAAGTGGCCCGATTAAAAGGCCGCTGCACATTTCCATTTATAAAGCACGCATCAGAGAGATCGACAGCAAAGGGGAGAGCTGCCTCTGCTCCTTACTTCATCCCTCCCCGTCAAACCCAGGACAGGCCCTCGGGATCTGACACAACCAGGCTGCCCAAGCCCGGATCCTGCTGCTGGGGAAATGCAAATTGCTGTCTGGGGCTGCTGATAGGAGGGATGGAAAAATCAGAGGGAAGGATGGGGAGGTCTGAGGCACGAGGAGCTCCGAGCTGTGAACAGCAACTTCTGCAAGGTTACCACGAAAAAGAGATTCAGCTTCCCTTCCCTTCCGAGTGAAAAAAAAAAAAAAAAAAAAAGCCTCCTGCCTTCCTCGGCAGCACCCCGCTCCCTCCTGCCTGGGTCGAGGGGTTAACAACGGCTCATTACAATTTTTATAGAGATGGGGAAATGATTGCCCACTGAAGGGTGAGCAGAGCCTACGTTATTAAAGGAGAAGAGGTGGCTGTGGAAGGGACACCAGGCTCCTGCAAAGCCGGCTGTGGCTGCGTGATCTGCTCCCCGCCAAGCAGGCTGGCTGCTCCCTAACGGTGCAGCACGCTTCACCCCACCGGCGATTACAGGTGGCCTGCAAGCAGGAATGCAGCGGGCTGCACGTCCATCGGTGCTTCTCCCTTCCTTCATCTCCAAGGTGGAAGTAATTCACAGCGAGCAGACGCTCGGTCGATCCCCTCGCGTTACATGCCCGGCTAGCACAAACAGATTTGTAAGGAGCGTCTGAAGTTTTCCCGGCATCACATTTCCCATTTGTATAACGACAAAAAACGGCTTGCCAACAGCCCAGTGGATTTTTCTAGCCTGGGATGTGACAGGCAGCAAAACCCAAAGCTGTCCAAGCTTACAGATGCTCTTAAAATTGCTGCTCTGCTCATCTTTTCAGGGCGCTGCATCTTTTCAGGGCTCTGATCCCTTCTTCAGCCTTCAAGGACCACTATGTCAGCGACTCTGGAAAGGTTTGCCAGGCGTGAAGGGCGAGCTGTCCTGCTTGTATGGGGCGGGAAAGGAAACAGCACTGGCCAAGAAAGGTCAGCATACTCGGTTTGAACAAGCAAGAGATGCCACAGAACGCTCAGGCAGGGCAGCCTGGCCTGTTTGGGGGGGGGTGTGCTCCAGCTGAGAGAGATGGACCCTGATTCAGGCTGATTCCACCAACTGTGGAAGGAAACAGTGTGTCCCGGCGACCGGCAGGAGATGGTCTGGCTTTTAGTGGTGGTACTACCCCCATCAGCCCAGTTCAGAGCAGCGAAAGCCCAAAGCTGTTCCCACACTCGGCAGCCGCCCAGGACATCTGTGCAGGGCAAATTCTCACCCCACGTCCCAGCGGGACAAGCCAGCCAAGGTGCCACAGACAGAAACAGGGCCCTTCCCTGGAGGTGGGTTCTCCAAAAGCGGCTGCGGCTCCTGACGGGGCTTCATGGGGGAAGCTCACCCTCCTCCGCCGCAGACAGAGCGTGGTACGCGGCCTGGCTCTGCCTCCAAGGCTCCTGGCACGGGGCATTTCACTGGACGGGGCTCTGACCGTGACATTCACCGTGCCGCAGACGGCATCAGCGATGATCCGGCTCCGGCACACCCGCACGCGATGTAAATCACTCACCTCCTTGGATTTCAGGGATCTCAGAGGAACACGCCCTGTCCCCCTCCGGCACTCCTACCGAATCGCTCTACTTGTTCAAGGGCAAGTGTCCAGAAACAGATCAGGGCAGATCTGATGGAGAAGGGGTGTTGTGGAAGGGTGCAAGGCCAAACTGAAAACACCCAGCAGTCATAAAATATCTATTTGAAATACAAAATCCAATCTGTTGGAATGCAGAAGCTCCGAGTTCCTCCCGCAGAGTAGAAGAACAGCTTACAATAAAAATACATTTTATGAGCTGTCCAGTAAGCTGGTTACGTTTTCCCAGAGCTTAGCGAAGCACTTGTAGTGGAAATGCTGCTTCTGATCTTATTATCCTTCCCTGCAGTGCATGTTATTAACTTTCTGTTTTATTTACAGCATCGCCATTTACTTTTACGATACTTCCATTAACTTCATTGGAGTGCACATTGCTCGATGCACACAATCAACGCCCAGCGCTGCCATAATCTTTAATGCACCTTGCCAGCTGTTCTGGTGTTTGCATACATCTTTACGCAGGAGAAGGGGAGGACAGATGCAGCTGGAACATGTCATTTGAAGAACGGAACAAAAAAACATACCTCCCAATTTGAGACTTTTTTTTTTTTTTTTTAAAAAAAAAAAAAAAAAGAAAACAGGACAAAGGCAACTGCGTTTCCTCATGGGAGTGCTGCGTTAGGCCGGTTCACGCTGCATCTGTGCCACTAGCCGGGGAGAAGAAAAAGCACAGCCAGACTCTAGCTGGCCTTGAAGAACTCACGAGGTTCCTAGCAGAGCGCGCTAGGTGCTCGCAGACTTACCTGTCTCCCTGTGATACCTAGAGCAGCTACTGGCTTTATGTATCCCTAAGAATAAATCCTTCCGAAATCCCACAGGTTTGCCAAACTCTCTCTGTAGCACACGATGGGGTGCCTACATGTATAGGAAGCAGTGGGAAATGCTGGACTACTACTGGGTAAAGTCCCTCTTACCCGTCTTTCCCTCGGTTATGGATTGCCAGCTCCTCCACAATCCCCTCCTCTTCCTTGAAGTTCTCCCAGTCCAGTTTAGATTTCTCCAGTGTGCTCATCTTCTGCTTTTTGGAGCCAATCTTCCCCAGGAGGCTGCTCATACCGCTTGGCCTCTTCACCCTGACGGAGATAAGGGAACAAATGTTACTTAAATGCAGGGAGACAGCGTCAGTTAGCAATTAAAAAAGCAGCACGCGTGAGAGTGGTGGCCTTGATGGTGGCGAGCCAGATGGCCACCAACTTCAGGCAGCCCGCGGGCGGCAAGGTCACGCTTCCTGCAGGTCCTGCTCCACCGTTCCCCTGGAAGCAGCAGAGTTCATTACACACGTATCTCAAGTGCTCACTTTTTGTGAAAGGGCTTTTTCATTTATCTTCTTAAGAGAACAGAAAGCTTTCAGGCCAAAAGAGATCATTAAATCATCTAGTTTGACCCCTTGTATACACCAGGCCAAGCCATTCTACTGATCACCTCTGTGCTAAGCCCGGTTCTTTGTCTTCGGTTTAAAGTGTTGTTTTCTGGAAGGAATCCAGCCTCAGTGCGTCACCAGTGCTGACAACACATCTAGGAATTAACCATTTCGCTGGTACCAACACGCCTGTTTACAACTTCATTTTGTCTAGCTTTAGGTTCTGGTTGCCGCTGCTTATTCTGTACCCCAGAGTGCTCTGGTGCCCAGGCGGGTCTCATCAGTAACATACTCCTACACCATAAGGAACTTACATCGGAATATTTTTTTTTTGACAAACAGATGGAGCTCTTTACGCCTCTCATTGAAATGCATTTTGTCCCAGCCCCTACGTCACTTCTAAGGTTTTTGTCCCCCCGCTTACGTTTCAACGCTCTTTGAAGACAGGGGCACCAGAGCCGCGTGTAAACCCCCCCCTTCTCCTGACTGCCGAACTGCTTCCCTCCGAGGATTCCCTCAATCCCGTTCCTGACACCCGCATGCGGCACGCTGAGTCCCAGTGTGCGTGCACTGCGACCCCACACCACCTCCCCCAGGTCCCTGGCTGGCAGGAAGACCACCTTGGTCTTTCATCTCCTTGTTCTTAGAGAACCGAAATCCCACCCGCACGGTGGGGCCCCCGAATCTCCCCTTTATGCTGGGAAACGCACACACAGGGACTCGGGTCAGCCGGGTCGCCCTCAGAGGAAGACAATTCTCAGGACTAGAAACCCGTAAAACAAACTTGCATTAACCCTTCTTAAACACCCCCTAGGAGAGGGGGGGCAAACAGCACCTCATTGAACTCGGTGTTTATACACATTCCAGAGATAACTTCAGGTCTGCAGGGCCTTTGCCTCTGCAAGAAGCCGGAAAGGAAATGATTCTCGTTCCTGAGAGATGGAGGAATTTGGGGAAGGGGGGGGCCCAAGGAAGGCAGCCAGGTGAGCGTGGCAGACTGCTCTCCAACCGCACTCGCCAAGCACCATCCTGCCCAGGGGTAGCCATTCTTGGGAACGTATCCAAAGCTGTCCTTATCGGATCATTAGCATGGTTTATGCTTCCGTAATTTGCAAGCCTCTAAAGGAAAATAATTCCGCAGTTTATATGGAACTGAATCAAAGAAAATGACATCTTTGTAAGGCTCAGCCAGAAGATTCTCAATGCAGGAATGGTTGGCCGTAGTCACTTGGGGTTGCAGCTTTCTGACATAGATATATTTGGGCTACAAACCCTGCATCGAGGGCATCTTGGCAGGCTCCATAGCCACCGGACAAAGCTGCCTGCCACTCTTCATACTGCATAGCCAGAGGAGCAGTAATGTCCTAGGACCTGGCCCTCTTATTTCTTTCAGTCCCTGGTGCACATGCTGCCAGCCAGCACTTTTCACTCTGCGGGGACACAGAGCAAGCTGGATGCTCTTGTATTCACCTTTATCCCCCAACGTCTCATCAAGATGTCTACAGCTCTTCTTATCACTATCACGCACAAAAACCTCGATCCTCGCTCAGGCTCTGACTCTCTCTTACTTTTCAAGACACGATGGCTCTGAGTATCCTGATCTGCAGGTGGCAGGAAAATGGTGCAAGGGGGCAAAATGTGCAGAGATGTTCTCAGCACAAGATAAAACTGGAGAGATTTGGCTCCCGCATCTGGCTATTCAGGACCGCACGCAAGTCTTGCACAACCACCAAACCCAGTATCAGATTCAAGTTGCAAGGGAGTGGGAGGAGAGGAGATAGGACAAGTAAGAAAGCAAAGCAAACCCAAACAAAATATTGGGCAAGCATGCCCCGTGGCACTCCCTGCTGAGCAGCCGCCTGGGCGACAGAGCCTGGTGCTCGCGCACGGCAGTTCCTTCCAGTGCACTGGGAGGCCTTGGGTTTTAGCACGAGACTTAAAGTGAAGATGCTCTGAGACAGATCTAGAGAAGTGCGATGGCTGATCCAGCTGGCAACACTCCTCTCCTCCCAGCCTGGCAGGCAGAAGGTGTTTAAATTAACACAAGGCATCCAGTAACACATTTCTCTGAATACGCTTAACTTTCCAGACCCACTTGTGCTTTCAATTTTGTTGAAGCTGGGAGAAGCAGGGATGCAGAAAGGGAGGGTGCTGTCCCTTGGCCCTAGATGTCACTTAAATCGTTTTTGGGGCAAAGAACAATTTACCCTGTCCAAGGGCACTCAGAGCTTACCTGCATCCACCCGCTCTTCGGTGGGTGGGAGCCTGCAGCCACCATACAGCTGTACTACAGACAGCCCTGACTGCAAAAGACACAGCACACACCTGCAAAACCCACTTGAAGCCGTGTGAGGCTCTCTCCCGGGTGTTAGAGGAATGCCTGCCCTGCAGAGCGACAAGCAGGCTCAGTGGCAGGCTCGCACATGCCGGGACTTTTCGGCTGAACCTCAGTCTGTCAGCTGCTGGTGGGGAAGAGCTGAGCTGGGAGAGGGGCCAAATGGCCAGGCAGGGCTGCCGCACACGTCCCTGCATGAAACACAGACTAGGACAGGCAAGGGCCATCCCCAGAGGACAGTGGAAGGCACACACGAGGGAAAGGAACCAAAGGCAAGATGGTTTGTGGCCAGAGGTGGGAGCAGAGGCGGTGCTGGCTTCCCCGCAGGGAGCAGGGGCTGCAGGCTAGATGAAGGCTACTCGCCACACATCTTTTCTCCCATGGTAATTCCTGGCATAAATTAACAACGTCTACATGCACACATCCATCTGTAACAGTGCTCAAGGCCTCTCTATCTCCTCTTGGCCATGGATCTCAGGAATATCCCTTAAAAGGTACAAATCACCCCACACTTGAAGCTACAGAGTCTAAGTTATGAACACGGACCTCCATCAAGGGCTTCCAGATGGCCACAAGAATACTTGCAAGTCAGCGGTCCCTTCAAGGCAGGGGAACCTAATGAAACAGGGCAGGCTATGCCGCACCCTCGCGTTGATGACTACCTCCAAAAATCCTGCTGATATCCAGTGCCAGCCCCATGCTGGAGACGGGCCCTGCGCCGAATGACCTGGCTCTGCTCCTGCCCGGACAATTCCGTGCTGTTTCTCACAGGACCAAACGTGGGCCAGGCACGGGCTGAAGGACATGTCTGAGTCTGCTGCTGAGTCTTCGCTCTGAGCTGAGCCTTTCATCACCCTGAATAAATCCAACAGCGAACCTGGGGGTGGGAATTCCTACGCTTGTGCCAAAATGAAGTAAATGAGAGACATTAAAGTCCAATTAAAAACTTGCTTGGCCTTAAATGCCTCATCTGCTTAAAAAGCAAGGAAAGGGGCCTGATTAATTGCATTCAGTGCCAACAAGAGGAATTATTACCCTTTTTGTACTCATTAAGGGTATCTGCTGTGGCATCTTTAATCACTAAGGCATTTAAAAGAGAGAAAGTAATTTGCTAAGACATAATGGATCCCGGGGATGGGAATCAGGACAATCGCCTATTTAGGACACAAAGACACGCTCTTACTTTCCATGATTAAAAAGCACGGCCCAAATCAGCCCATGAACCAGCAAATAAGCATGCTGGAAAGCTCTGCCTTGGTGGGGGGATTCCGCTGCACCCATCTAATGTCTTTAGGACAAGGACTGTGCCTGTGCATCACCCAGCACGGTCACACAGAGGGACAAACAGCAAGCCAAGGTCTCCCTTGCTGCCCTACCACGGGTCAACGCGCTCTGTATTCCTGTCCTTATCAACGAGGCTTCCTCCCACCTCAGTGTGAGCCTGCAGCCCGACCAGGACCTTGGAGCATTGCTGCTATACCAATGACAAAGTGGCACTGTCACACGTAAACCCCCGCTGCCTTTTAGCAGCGTCCAGGAAACGCGTGCCTGCCTCCAAAAAGGCAGGCTTCATCACAAGCTTTATAAGATAACCTTCAAGCAATAGGAAAACAAGGCCACAAAGGTCTCGTAGTGCGTCCTGCCAGCCAAAGCAAGATGAGCTCCTCTCCCACCCACCCAGAGATGGGTGCTCTGAAGGCCTCCTGACACCGATCCCATACGCACTAGAGGTTTCAGTGCTTCATCAGCCTTTCACTTATGTAACTTTTCCCCAATGACTGAATTTCCTTGCTCGGCCCATGACTTCTTATCTTATTCCTAGTAGCTACTAAGAACAGATCATTCTCTCACTTTTTGCCGCAGCCTTTTATGTCTCTGAAAGCTTTTCATATCCCCCCCCCTGCTCAGCTTGCTCTTTCCTAGACTAAACAATCCCGGGTCCTTTCAAGCTTTTCTCATTCTTTATGGTTCCCAGCCCTCTGACCGCTCTCGCTGCTCTCCCCCGACTCTCGGCTGTTGGCTCACATCTTCCTCGAAATGCAGCATCCAAAATGGGAAAGAAAGGGCTCCAGCCACAGCTTTACCGGCACCGGGAGCAGGAAGAATACTTCAGATGCCTTGCAAAGCATGCAACTCCTTCCACGGCCTCCTATGACGTGTGCCTTTTTCACAACCGTGTGACAGCGTTGACTCATGTCGAGCCTGTGATTCAC